AATGTGCCAAGTCAGTGAAAGGTGGAGATATGAATTCAAAGGAAAGGAAAGGGCCAAGTGACTCTATATGGTCAGCTGGCCAGGAGTTCTGGGGTATTGGCCCACAGACCAAGTCCATCTGATTCTAGCTGCAGTTTGGGCACCATCTGGTGGCAATTTTCCTCCCTGAGTTAAATGCTAATTGGTCCTAGGGTCGACTTGACCTTTTGGGGACAGTGGGAATGATTCCAGGAGTCTCTCAACTAGTGAGAGCAAGTTTTATGGCTCAAAATGGGAAAATTCAACTGGGAACCACCTGGAAATGTGGTGATTCATCCTCCACTTCCTCACTTGAGGAGGTAGAGTTGCCTCTAGCAGCACAGAGTGCACAGTCCTGCAGAGGAGGCCTGACAGTCTAGGGATGAAGCTAGCAGAAGAGATGCCGATGACTCTTCTAGGTACAGGAAGGAAGTGGGCAAGATGCAGAATATAATAATGGTGTAAAGGATTGGAAAGAAATTTTAAGTGAAAAAGGAGCTCAGGGTATTGGAGAGTGGTCTAAGAACTGGAAGGAGCTTTAGGAGTTTGATATGGGCCATCCCATACAACTGCCCTGGAAGGGGAGGGTTAACCAACTGGATGTACTAACCCACTGGAAAGAAACTGAAAAACTAAAGACAAAAGACAAATAGGCCTAGGAGCAGAGGTCTAGAGTCTTAAGGAGGTGTACTCTCCAGGATTAGGGGAGTGGTATAAATCGAAAAGTTATAAGGTATGGTAGGGGGAGGCTCCTGGTTAACCTAATGGGATCAAAGAACTTTTATTACTTTACAAGCAGCTATTCCAGAGAGTTGTTGTAAAAATCATATACTAGTACCTGACACTTAGCTGGAATTCAAAAAAAGATAACTCTCATGGCGCTAAGCAGATTCATTGAAGACTTCCTGTATCTTACCATTTTATCTTCCCTCTATCCTTGTGAAATACTCAAGTGGGTATCATGATGGAAGATACTACCAAATTTGGGGGTACACAGAGAATATCAATTACCAAATTTATTACCAAAAATTATTTGCACATACTAGATACAAAATAGTTTTGTAACAGTGAATCACTGTTCTACTATGTCAATACTGATTATTTTTTCCAAAGCAGTTGGTCTTCATGAAAATACAGGTTATCAAGAAGTTAGGAAACAGTGACTGGCTTGCAGATGGGGTTTCCTAAGAAAAAGCTAATAGGATGGTACACAGAAGGTTTGGGAGTGGTGTTGGGGGTGGAGCCTACCAACTAAAAATCTTCATTTATCTAGAAGGTTAAAATGGCTACAACAGGAAAGAGAAGTATCTACTATAAGACTGAAAAGATTACAATTCTTTTTTTAAAAAGATTTATTTTATATATTTATGCATACAAGAGCTGGGGTACAGGCCAGAGGTGTGGGGGAAGGGGGGTGAGAGAATTCACCAGAGACAGAGTGGGGAGCAGAACAGGCGGATCGACTGAAATACACTGGTGAGGGGAGCAGTGTGTGAGACAGGAGAGGTCTGCTGTGCCATGTGGGTCACTTCCCTGGCCAGGGATTAAACTTGTGCTGTGGTGGCTGCCGATAGCTTCATAGTGCTGAGACTTAACCCCTTGCACCACCAGGGAGGCCCAGATTACAATTCTTTAATTATATTAATCTACATTTTAAGTAGTGGGATAAACTACATGAAAGGCATTCATTGGAAAACTCTACCTAATGGTTTACTGTATTTCCCATCCCTACCCCAAGTCAACACTCAGACCCCTTATTAGCTAAAAACAAAACAAGACTGTAAAAGGGAACATAAAATTTGACAATAAGAAAACAATTAAGAAAATAGAATACTAATGAGAATAAAAGGCAAGCAATCACCAATGGACTGCTTTCATTTGGACTATATCCACACTGAATATTTCTGCCTTATTTGTCCTTCCTTCCGTTGGATCTGCCGATGGGTTTATTTCTGACAATGTCCAGTCAGGAAAACAGAAACCACAATAAGTATTTATTTCAAAAGAGACAATATAAAAAATTGGTCAACCATTGAAGAACTAGAAGAACAATGAGAGAACATGGTACCCCAGAGACATAACTGCAGGAAGCACCATGCCCCCAAACTGAAGGAGCAAGAGAGGAAGGCTGAGTTCTCAAAGCAGAGCAGCTTACAGGAGAGACGCAGCAGAGCTGGGATTCAGTCACTGCTGGACCTGGTGAGAGGTGCAATGAGGCTAGTTCTGAATTTGTCAAAGTCAGTTGGAGGCTGGAAGCCAGAGCCACTGTCAAGTCACTGCTGAGATGGGGCTGCCAGAAACAGGACACAAACTGGAAGGCAAGTCCCTCTCTTCCCCCACTCCTGCAGCCCCCCACCCAGCTCGCCACAATGGCCATCTACAGAGATGCTAGCTGACAAAATGTGGCTTTCAGAGTCCTTGTAGCAGATGGGCCTGCAGGAAAAGTAGGTGTGGGGCAGAGAGACAATAGCAGAAGATACACACATTACATACTCAGAAAAAGTTATCCACCCCATGTTTATGTCTCTGACTCACATCACAATTAACCAACTAACCTGCTTCAAAATACACCAAATAGGAACAAAAGTTGTGGCAGCGAAATCCATGTGAAGCTGAGATCAACCAGAACCATGCTCACTGGGACCTTCTTTTACACCTTTGGTAAGCTTTCGAGAAGCATTTTAAGAGCCTGCTGTTAAGTGTCCTAATTGTTGTTACCTATGAAAAATGGGCTCCTTCGAAGCCATGTGCAGGCCTGCTTAAAACAATAAGCTTTTCTAACCCCCGAGCGCGACACACTCCGGGAGCATGGTCTGGATGCTTATCAAACAAGTTCCTGGGCTGTTCTCTGAAGTTTCTGGGCAAGTACAAACAACAGAGTCAAATAAATGCCTTTTAAAAGCAAGGCAGTGGAGCACGTACCCTGTCAGTGAGATCCTCATATCCTCACAGAGTAAACAGTAACATGAGAATATTTATACTAAACAAAACTGTATATCAAGTCTGCTTTGGCTCAGCCAGAGGGAATGATAAATTCCTTGCAGATCTCTCATAGAGTGGTCCTTTGTGGGCCACGGACGCCACTTCCAAGACAGTACAAACCAATTACAGAGCAAGACTTTTCATTATATTGAGGGATGAAATTATTACCTCCCATTTTGTTTTATTTTACAGTTGTTTTACTTATCCATATCTTCCCCCTTATGTTGCAGTAGTTTTAACTGCTTATTGAGTCAAAACCAAATTTAGGTTGAAAACAAATGACCAATGTCTCCTTCACACACATACACACACTCCAACAACAAAAGTCCTTATCACCTGCATCATCTAGCTTTTTGCTTTATTTCAAGGTGGGTAAAGTGAAAACATGAAAGAGTTGATAAAATGTGAACTCTATTTGTGCACATCAATTTTGTTCTATTCACAACTGGCACAAGTCATGGGCAAAGTCAGCTGGCAGGAAATGGAGGTTAAATGAGCTATGAAGCCACACTCCATACAAAGTCCGCTTTGTGGTCCAATGGAAAAAAATACTGAAGAAACATTTGTACAAATAGCCGGTTTGTTTCTAAGAGGCCAATAAGAGGAAAGTTTATTATGAATCAAGGTATTTGATAGTTCATTTTGTCAGATTTTCTCAACCCAACCTGACAATCCTTCTTAGTTGTTATAGACCCATCCAGGCTACTTCCACCAGCGTGCAGAGAAAGAGCTGATACTGGAATCAGTCCACGGGAAAGTCAGCAACTTACAGCTGTTTCAGATTTTCTAGAGAACCCTTGGGGCAGTGAGGGAGAAGAGGAAGAGAAAAGGACAATAAGAGGAAAAGGATTTAGAATATGACGAAGAGGTAAGCGGTGGGAAAATTATAACAAAAATAGCAAATGATTGTTTTTCAATAGCTTGATCAAAGTTAATTTAATCAAGTCTATTGTAAACCATTAACTAAGTCTTACATGTGGTGCCAGGGTCCATTATAATATTAAAAAGGGAATAACAGTTCTTATATATTTGTACACATTAGTGAATATTGGAAATTTGTTGACATCTTAGTTAGAATGTATGAGCTTTGTGAAATTCTTATTAAGATGTCTGGGTTTTTTTTTAACTTTCATGGAATATATGCTTTTTATTATTTAATTGTGGCAAAATACATATAAAATGTACCATTTTAACCATTTTTAAGTGTATAGTACAGTGACATTAAGTATTCATATTTTGGACAACAATCACCACCATCCATCTCCAGAATTTTTTCATCTTCCAAAACTGAAACACTGTACCCATAAAATAGATGTTTTTGGTTTTAAATAAGCCTTGCTTAGTCAGCAGTCTTGAACATACTGACATCAGTCTGGAGAGGTTAATTCAGGTAACTGGTGAATGAATCAATTCTCCCTACAACCTAAAATGACTCAGGGCCATTATGTGCTTCCCCCTCATTCATCTGTTTAATATCGATGCACCAAACTGAAGCAAAGCTCTAGAACAGATCTGGAAAACATATTGTTTCATTTTGATGTTACTGCTTCAAAGTACTTTCATTTAGTCCCTCAGAATATGCGGTTGGTCATTACTTCTTTACAGGTAATGAAACGGGGGCTACATGGAAAGTGAGAGAAAGGACAAGAACCCACACACTCCAATCCACTCATTCTAATAAGCCATGTGGTCTCTGCCAAGGTGATAGAATGTCGCAACTGACCCTTCAGTCTAACCAGACAGCATTTGCTCTCTTTACCACAGCAACTAAGTTCCTTTATGACTAAAATATAAACCCAGTCCACCATTCTCCATCTTTGTTATATTTATACTGACAGTGAGGAGGAAACACCCAGAGAAGCACAATTCTGGAACAAAATTAATGCTATCAGATTTAAGAATCAAATGTAAATTAAAACACATTAGGATAAATCACTGGATCCAACAAAACATTGAGTTCAAACTCTTTTATTTTTAATTTCTTATAATAAATTCACATTATGTGTTCTTATTAGAAAAGAACATAATCCTTCCTGCTAAACAAAACCTATGGAAAAATTGAGTTTTGTGTGTTTTATGGAAAGAGAGCATTTTGTATTAAAGCAATATGAATACTAAGGACTTACATGAAGTTAAGTAAGGACTTAACTTTATACATGAAGGACTTACAGAATCATCAAGTGACTCCTTTTAGTTCACAATGAGGCTATATATTTTTTATTTCCTTTAAATAAAATTCTTTATTTTACTTTATTGAGATAGCACTGGTTTGAAATATGTGATTCAGAGGTATAGGAAGATCACAACTCCTCAGATGTATGTCCCACACCACACCCATCAACAAGGCACCCTCAACCCTCCACTGATAGGTTTCTCCCTGCTCAAAAACAACATATCCCCTAAACCTTCAGACTTCCCATTTAAATTCCAAAAAGGATGAACACAATTGAAGCCATGTCCAATGTCATCATTCCATCTCCCTTCACATGCATTAAAGAACTAGATAAATCTGGCTTTTGGAGTTATTTCCAGAATGAACAATAATTGGTCATCCTAAACAACCATGCCTCAAAAGAGGAATGCTATTTTATAATTTTACCTGCTTTTTAGCTACATAGTGCTTGATGATTTAAAGCACACACTTTTTTTTAAAGATTCATTTATCCATACAAGAATTGGGGTACAGGCCAGAGGCACGGGAGGGTGAGAGAATTCACCAGAGACAGAGTGGGGAGCAGAACAGGCAGACTGAAGACACTGCTGAAGGGAACAGCGGGCGAGGAGAGGCCTGCTGCGACATGTGGGCAGCTCCCTGGCCCGCCGGGAATTGAACCAGGCTGTGGACAGCTTCACAGTGCAACGCTCAACCCACTGCGACACCGGGGAGGCCCTTAAAGCACACATTTAAAAAACTAATTACTCAAAAAAGTATGAGTTGAATACAAAACTTGAGAATAAAGAGCGTAGGAAAACAAATCAAGGCCAATTTTGTTTTTCCACGATAATTAAAGGTGGCTCAGCAACAATGGCCATTAAACCCTGTTGATTCAGGAGGGCATGGGAGTACACAAGTACAGAAAGTTAACACAAAGTGAGTCCCTGTGAAGTTTTAATGATGACTAGAAATATTAAGGGTGATTATGAACAATCTATAAATACTTATTATTGTTGAACAGAGAATGTTTCTAATTTTCCAACACAGAGACACCATCAAGTTCTCTGTATCTTCCCCTCATCTTCATTGGTCCAAAGAAGACTTTGTAATGATTGATAATTTTCCTTAAAACTTTAATGAAGCCTTATATTGGATCACATGAACACACCTCCCCGTATCTTCCAGAATTCCCCAATACTTTCCTGTATAGCATATTCAGCACAGTTCTTGCATTCTTGGGGTGTAAAACCAATTAATGCCCTCCCTATAGTACCAATTCCTCTATCGCTCGCCAACTTTTTAACTTGAGCTTCTATGTAATGAGGAGATATGTAGGAAAAATGATCACCAAGAACACCATAAGTGATATATTGAGAGTCTTCCGAGGTTTCCGTAACGTCTTGGTCTTCAAAACTCTCTACATTGCAAGCTATCTCAATTTTCCCTTCATGGGGAAAAGCCATCACTTGGACGCCCTTCAATCCATTCACATTTGAGCCCCGAATGGCACTAGCGATCTCCTTTCCCAAAGCCAAGTCTTGAGAATCTATGGTAACGTTGCAGTTCATCACGTATGGGCTGGCACCAATGCCTGAATCATTAGAAAAATATGTTAACCAAGCAAGGGAAAAAGCCTCATTTTAAAGACTATTCTTTAGTCAATTTTAGTCAAAGGGGTTTCCTTTACTTGGTTTTAATTTTTAAATAATACAAATGTTCCTAATTGTGAAAAGGTAAGATATGTATTCTAAAGATCATGCATATATTTTATAACAGACATTTGAGCTACAGCAGACTTTTTTTTCTACTCTAATACTAGGAATTATTACTAAACACTATCTAATTAGTATCCAAACAAATACTAATACTAAATACTAATACTGATACTAAAATCTAATACTCTAGGTATTTAGGGATATTTTTCCAGAATAGTTATGAAGAGCCCTTATTTTCCAAAATATCAACAGAAAAAAAGAAAGCAAATTAAGAATTAAACATTAGCACAGCAAAAAGCTTTGACCTTTCATTCAGGGGCTGGAACTCAGTGCGTGCAAACAGACAAGAATAATTCACATGCTGTACCCACCCCTTCCTCCCCAAATAAACACCTCTCATCACCAAGTTAGGTTCACATTCAATTCAGTGGACCTCAACAACAATCCTGGTTAGGGAAGGTCACTATAAATATGACAGACAGGACTTGAGAAGGGCAAGGGAATCTTGTAATATTTCAAGATGATGTGGGTTTGGAACACTATATCTTTTTTGGCATGTCTTCCATCCCCAGCTTTCCAAGGGACTAGGGCTGCCCTTGCCACTCGAGAGTCCTGTTATGCAGAGTACAGGGGTAAATGTGCTACTTTTCCCTGCCTCAGGGATAGTGCAGCTCATGTTACATAAATAGCCCCCATTCTAATTATAGTTTACATTATAAGATGGACAACTTGGTTAAATTAGCATTGGTATAAAAAGCTTAGGTTTGCAGTTTCCTCATGTTGGGGGAACCTTACGTTTCTAAAAGCAAAGTTGACCAGGCATTGATGGGGAATAAAAGGCTGACCTCATCTTTAACATATGACAATTCCTTAACTACTATTTCAAAATTATTTAACTGTCATTGCTTTTTCATATTACTTCTGAACTTATTGCTCATGATGTCAGTATCCATCAGAGATATCCTTCTGGGTTCACATTCCCCTAGACCGCAGTGGTTTGGGGGCTTTGTTGCCTAGCCTGGGTACTCTCATACTAATAGAAGCTTTACAGAAAATCAGCACACGGAAACCACACTTCATCTTTTTCCCACACATGTACATAATGAAACATTTCAATTCTCGAGGCTGGGCCTCTTTCTACTGGGAATTCTGCAGGAATGAATCAGATTACAGTATTTCTCTATAATGCTGATTTCATAAAAATTAAATTTCCTAACAGTCAATACATCTTGCTCTCATAATCTCATATACCAATCACTTACTCTAAATATCTTTGAGAACTATATCAATTTTAACATTTCACAGAGTACAATTGGAAATTTTCTTTTGTCAATGCTAATGTCATTCATTACGGAAAATATCCAAGCCTGGGTTTCTCTCTCCTCTACCCCTTACATGTCCTCAAGTCTGCTACACATACCATATTCTGACTCAAGAAGTAGCAACATCTTTACCATTTCCAACAAAAAGCTGGATCACAATGAGTTTGCGGAAGCTACACACACACTGGGTTATAGTCAACACAACTATTCAAAATTCACACTAGCCTATTGTGCCATATCAACATGAGATATTCACATAAAATTTATCAGCTTGGGGGAACAAGTCACCAAAACAATGGTTTCCTTCATATGAGCCCAGAGCTCTCCCTCTCCAAACAACCATGGCATGGGTCACTCTATCCCTATAGCCATGGGACTTTGGACTCTTCCTGAACCCTCCACGCCACAAATTCCAAGGAAAATTTACCAACATATGCCCAACAATTGCCCCCTTTTTGGCATAATCTCCAAACTTCATCATTCTTACTAATTAATGCATATGATAAATTATTTAAAGATAGAAAAAAATGTCGATGTTAAGTCTAGAGCACAAGAGTTTGAAAAAGAAAATACTTGTGCCAATACTGACTTACTTAACATGAGCCCGTCTTTTTAAATTCAAAGTAACTTTCATTTCTTACAAAATAAATATAAATAAAAGGTGTAGCTTTTATAGTCTCTTTTAGATCAGAGGTAACTAGTTAACATAGAGTACTCATTTTTTATTTAGGCTCTGGTTATGTGTATTTTGAATTCTTCTATTAAACTTAATAAAATAAATTTATTTTGTTTTACTGCTCTATCTTATTCAAGCAGTGAATAAGCAAAGACAGCTTATGAATCTGATAAGTTTCTGATCTAATCGGCACAGGAGTTTCCTCCCTAAGAGGTTGTAAGGCCTTTATTCATTTCTCCCTTGAAAAAGAAAGGAAGGGAATGAAGAGACTGAGACAGAGAACAAGCAGACAAACTGCTTTCTGCCCAAATGCATACTTTTCCAGTGTCCTCCATTTGATCCTTCCCAAGTCTGGCACCAATATGGCGACCCAATTGTCATGAGTCAAAAGGCTATGTTTAATCCCTGCAGATCCCATTGACCTTATCCAAATGCTGAATTTGATAGTCTCTGTTAATTTAAACTTAGTAAGAATTCTTAAATAAGAGATAATTAATCCCAGCAAATTGTATTCCTAGCTAAATGTCATATAATTAAAGTAATTCCATTTTTTTTTTTTGCTCTAAAATTAGAAACCTGATGTGAAAGTTTGTTTCTCAGTTTGCGGTTTCGCTCCACTCCTGCCTCCTGCAGATTGGCACTCGGCTGCTCTGGCGGCAGCATGAATCTCCTCACTGCAAAGCTGAAATTCCAATTTTATTCCAACGCAACTGTCACAACGCCCTGAAGCAAGCTAAAAACAAGGAAAAAAATCTTTGGTATGATTTCACTTTCCATGTGTTCTTTAATGAAAAATTTATCATTCTAAATATTGGTGTTTACTTCTAGTTAAATACTTTTTTTATCAAAAAGAAAAAGAAACTGAGATTCAGTTGCTATTATTTCACAGGCAAATATAACAGGCCTGATGTTTTCCTGACAATTCTGTTATTTTCTTGTGTGGAAACACTGTATTTATCATATACTGTGCGGCTGGTGATTCAGATATTGTAGAGACCTTATGGTGAACTGATATAGATGTAAACTCTTTATGCCAGATTGTTTAAGCAGGAAAAACCAAATGCACTTAATTAACATCTGATGTGTAGCTTTTGCAAACACAAATGCAATATTTGTGTTTGAGCACTGGCAGTAATGACTGTGAACTATGCTATTAATGTCTGGTTTAAAGATGCTTGTGGTAGGACCACGTCTGGAATAACACAAATAAAAAACTGCATTCAGACAAAACAACAGTGAAGAGTCCATTAGAAAAATGAAAAAGCAGTACTCAGAAGAAACACATGTCTTTTTTTCCCCTCTCAGATCAAAATTATTCTCAAAAATAGTTCCAGGCACCATCATCCTCAATCAATTAAAGGTGAAAAGACTATAGATTTTTCCTCCACAGCAGGAGCTTCATTTTAGAGGGTCAGAAGTTAGTAGGGATGTCTTTAGAAACTGTATTTCTTATATTAATCTCCCCTCTGGTGGCTAGTATTAAGATATATACAAGGAAAGAACTAAGGTATTTTCACATCTGAAAAGAAAATGTCAAATTTGTGGATTATATCAGTTGGAATAGATTATCTTAAACCTGTGTGCAAATTCTTCATTAAATGTTTTTACTGAAAACCTGCCGAGTGTCAGGAACACACAGGTTGTTGAGTATAAATACACCAAGATGGTTTAAAATAAGATAAAACCTAGTATAAAGGCAACAGACTCAGAACTCAAGTTAAAAAATGTAAACAGTTATTACACCAAAAGCAATTGGTTATCATTACATATTGGTACTTCAAATTTTTAGAACATGTACTAAGGAGAAACCACAGCTGAAACAGGACATTTGATGACTAAAGTCATAAAACTCAAACATAATTGCTAAGTTCAATGCTTTCATGGCGAAAAGAATGCAGGACTCTGAAGGAAGTGGCCCAATCCACGATCAAAGCAAGCTAAGTGAGAGCTGGTGTTGGGAATGGCCCCTGTGGGTCTGAATTCAAGTCACACTTCTGCAAGACACTGTCACTGCTCAGGTGTCTTTCTGCTAAATGGCTATGATGTTGTCCCGCTCTGTAAGGAACTATAAGTCTCAATTTCTTAATTTGAGTCTTTGAGAAGTGAGATAATTCAGAGAGGGAAATACAAAAGTGGGCACATGTTAACATAGCCGGGGAATGAAGCCGGCCCAGGGGAGGGACTTGTCTACTCCCCGGCTTTCCAGAGTAAAGCAGTGTCCTTCACCTGCTCATGCGAAAGCCCAAGTCCTTTAGGTTTCGATTATAGGTTACATATTTCATTACACTTCCATCATCCCAACTAGATTTACAAGCAAGCCGAAAACAAGGTATGTAAGTTCCTTAAAATAAGATTCATTCTAAAACTGAACATTATTTTTCAAAGACTAAGTAAAAATTTTGGTGTGGAGTAAATTGGGTTAACCAATGTCAAGAAAAGTGCCTGACACTGCACTTATTTACACAGAGAGAAATAAGCAGGGCAACTCTCAGTAATGCATTTAAATGACTAAACAGAAGTTCTTGATTCCAAGATGCACCAATTACCTCCATCGATGATTCCTAAGGCATTGTATGAAACTATAGTTCAAAGAATTGTCCCTGTATTTTTAAACAATGATGCATATATGCAGGCCATTCATATAATATATCAGCCAGAGTGTTTAAATTATCCCATAAATGTTTAGGGTTTTTAAAATATATATGTATAAAGTATTTATTTATAGATCTAAGAGTATCAACTATTATTGCTTTGTCCCTATTTATGTTCCTCAGGAGCTGGCCAACTACAAAATTTTAAAAGGAATTTGGTTGAAAAGAGTTTGTGTGTTTGGCACTGAGTAAGAGTGTTAATCATTTCTGAGCTCACTTTTTTCTCTTCTGTTTATAATACTCGTAGGGAACTTCAAAACAGAAACCTGTTCCCTTATAGACTCTACTTCCTCTTGGGTACTGTGTCAATTAATTTGTCATTGGAAAGCTAACTATAAATGTTCAGTTGATAGCACCAATCATTGCTATTTAATTTTTTTAGGAAAGAAAATAAATATAGCAACATTGTGTTGAGATTTTTCAGTTTTGATGGGAGGAGTGGAAAAATATGGTGAGAAATACTGATGCCATTTTAAAAAGTTAGAAAATTATATAAAATCATTAAATTAAAAAATAAGGGGGAATGCCATTCTGGGGACTCAAATTCATTGAAAAAATTAGATTAATAAAACATTCTACCCTGGTGACAGAGGTGTACTAAATTCTACTTCAATATATAATACTTTTTTAAAATGAGGGCATTTTACTCCTTTCTACAAAAATGTCTTTAAGGCATTATTTGTGCAAGAAAACCTAATATTTCAGTTGATCACTTGTCTTAAACTACTTACAACCTGTTTTGTGAAATATTAGAAACCATTTGCTCTTTATATCCCTTACTGCTATTCCTCCTTGAAATATTTTCTACTCTTAGCACCTGTTTTGATATTGTACATGAGGGATTCTCAATGAACAACAGTCTGTCTAATCTTGCAGGCTCTTGTGATCTTCATGGGTTTTTTTGCATTAACAGATTTCTACCACTAGTCAAAAGATATTAGCAGAAAAGACATAAGGGGGAAAAGTCATGCTACTTTTTCCTTCCTACCCTAAATCTTCCATGGAATGCAACATGAACAAATGCACTGAAACCCAGCTTTTATCTTCATCATTACCCTACATGAAAGATAATCACAAGATCAAGGTAGAGAAATCATCAAATTAAGTTGGATGCTTTAAAATTTTTAAAATGCTTTTCTTATATGATATAAATAAAATAGATGTATATATATATATATATATATATATTGCAATATTGAGCTCACACTATCTCTATGCTTTATATCCTTTATATATTTTTATGCCTGAAGGCTCTCCTTCACATTTCTGGCTACTGGCTCACTCCTTTCAGTCTTTTCTCTGATGCTGCCTTCACCATGAGGCTTGCTTCAAATTGCATCATTTAAAATCACAATCCATCCTCTTCACAGAACTCATGAAGCCCCTTGTCTTGATTTTTTCTTCTTGTCTGTAGCACTTATCATTTTTAATATATAATTCATTACTTATTAAGCACATTATTTACTGTCTGTGTCCTTACCCTCTTCTGCCTGCAATAAAAGTTCTTCAAGGGCATTAAAATTCTATTCTACCTACTGCTGATAATGCCTGTACCTTTTGTCATTTCCTTAGTATTTATTCCTAGAACTAGAACTCCTAAAGGGCAGTTATAAACATTTTAGAGCTATTTATACATACCCCCAACTCACTTCTGCAAACTTTATACCACTTTACACTAGCATTAGCAAGAGTGCCTCGGACTACATCTTTACCAGTATTACCTATAAAATACCATCTTTAAACAATTTTGTGGCAATTTTGACATTTTAAAATTTTAATTTAGGTTTTGAAGAAGTTGGTGAAATACTTCTCATTGATCACAGCTCTCCATGTGGAGTAAAAGTTGAGAATTAGAAATCCAATGGGTGAAAATGGAGTAGATGGAGTTAACCCAACCACAGGCAATCACAGATGAAACTAGGAAGCAGAGTTCACTTTGGCTTAAATACTTATAAACCAAGTTTCTTCCTAGGAGACTAAATATGATGACTGACCATATGAATATTTGGTCTTAAATTCAGATATGCTTTTTATATCAGGTTCAAGTTCTTTCCAAACACCAACCCCTTCATTCTCACAGCATTGCAAAAATGAGAAGTTGACAAGGGTTTGCATGACTACCACCAAGGCCAGTTCTACTGTCCTTTAATGCCAATGCTCTGTTTCTAACGCTTGTGCACAGACTGTGATGCCAGTCTGCCTCCTCTGCTCCCATTCACCTGGCACTGCACTGGCTAGGTGTGCAGAATTATCCCTTCAATCTGCAGTGAGTACAATAGTGAAACCAAGAAATAGAATTCTGAAAACCATCACAAAACTTACACTTTCCATTTGTCAGACAAATTCTGACACATTGTTAGGAGAGGGCTAGAGTGGCAGAGATAGGTAAAAGTTTGTGAGATCTAGGAGAAGGGAGAAAGAATACCACTCCTGGCATTTGTTCTCTGTTCTAGAAGTCTGTTGTCTACAAGTTTCTCCCAGGCTACCTCTAGAATAATAAGCATCAACTTGGTCACACTGGACATTCTAGCACAAAAAGAGTTTGCTACCAACTAAAAGTAATCTCTACCAGTATCGCCACCCCCCCAAGATACACCCCAGCATATGACTTCACACCAGGAACAGCAGCAGGGCCCTGGGATCCTTCCCCAGAGTGAGGAGTGGCCTCCCCTCTCCCCTATTGTTATGTATCTTCAGTACCACTCTTGGGGGCTCTCATTGAATATCTGAGAGGACTTTTAGCCTCTCTGGTCAGCTTTTGAAGGCATGTGTAAGAGCCTCGCCTGTCTCAAGAAGGAGGCACCACTATTATCACCCTGCATTACGCAGGAGGAACCAAAGGAAGGGAACCTGGGAATTCCACTACCAAGTTAAAAAACAAAAGCAGAACACAATCATAATGATAACCTGTTAAACCACATCTTCGGTCCGGTGTAGCTCCCAGGTCAGGCTCAAGTGCACTGAAATCCCTCCTTGTGAACCAACCCAGTTGCTTTCTTCTCTGGACAAGGCTGCGCTTCCTAGGAAGGTCAGCTTCACCGAAAAGAAACACACTGCTGCCGGGAACACGTAGGACCAGATTCTCAGCAAGGCCTGTGGGTAGTGGGAATTATAACAAAATTAAGCTCAAGTTGGGTCCAAGGACATGATTTTTTTATTGTGGCAAAATAGATTTCACATGAAATTTACTATTTTAACCACTTCTAAGTGTATAGTTCAGTGGCATTATATATTCATGTCATTGTATTATCATCATCACTAAAACATGTAATTTACACAAATTTTAAAAAATCAAACTAAGCATAATTTATTTTCCCTTGAAGTTAGCCTCATAATAAAAGTCTGTCTTTGTGTGCAGAAGCTAGAACTTTTTTTTCTCATTACAAATCTAATTTTACAAGGGCAATTCCTCACTAAGATTAAGGAAATTAGTACCTTCAATTTTTGAACAGTTTCATAACTGCTTCTAATTGTGTATATTGTTTGGAGAAATAAAAAGTCAGGAGTACAAGGGCCACATTCTCTACTATTGAATATGGTAACTTCTAGCTACTGTGGTATTAAATCTTAATTTTTATTATTTTATTATTTTTAAAGGTTTATTTATTTATGCATACAAGAGCTGGGGTGCAGGCCAGAGATGGGGGGGGGTGAAAGGATTCATCAGAGACAGAGTGGGGAGTAGAAACTACTGAAACACACTGCTGAGGGGAGCAGCGGGCGATACAGGAGAGGTCTACTGTGCCATGTGGGTCACCTCCCTGGCCAGGGATTGAACTCGTGCTGCAGTGGCTACAGATAGCTTCACAGTGCTGCGTCTTAACCCCCTGCACCACTAGGGAGGCCACTTAATTTTAATTAAAATAAAATTTCATAAAATTTAAAATAGTTTTACACTAATTCAAAGGGATATATGCACTCATCGCATATATTCATGCAATGAACATCACTGCAGCATTATTTACAATAACCAAGTTATAATAGCAATCTAAGTGCACAAGGACAGCTGAGTGTATAAAAATGGCTATAAAAAAAGACAAAATCTTGCCATCTGACAACATGGGTGGAACTGGAGGGGATAATGCTAAGTAAAATAAGCCATAAGGACAAATACCGCATGGTTTCACTTTCATGTGGAATATAGAGAACAAAACAGTCAGACAACATGAAACCAAATATGAACCCTAGAAATCTGATTGCAAACCTGAGGTACCAGAAGTGGAGGGGGAGAGTAGAAAAAGGAGGGGCCCAATGGGCTATGGTGGAGGACCCTGGATGCCCTGAGTGTGGTGTGGTAACATACACCTGAAGAAACTGGAATCTTATATTTCTGAATCACATACAGGGCTTAAGAAAATATTACCTTTAATAAAAAGATTAAGTATTTTTATTACTAGTCATAATTCAAGTGCTCGATAGCCATGCAGAGCTAGTGGTCTCCCTACTGAACAGCACATAAAGAACATTTCTATCATTAAAGAAAATTTTGTTGAATAGCACTAGACCACATATTCAATATAAAGAAGGCTAATTTTTAAATATAATTGGTTGCTGCTCTAAATGACAAGTTTTTCTTCCTTTTATTTATGTTTGGATTCTGACTCTGACTGTGTCTTTTCAAAGTGAAACAGGGCTAATGGTGAGGGAGGGGGAGCTATAACCATCCAAGGACAGTGCCCAGTAGAGGACTGGTCTCCTCTGTTGGTTCTTCACTTGCGTGCACTGCTACAACACCACTTAAGCTCAGGGAACAACAAGGGGGTTTACTTAATAAACAGGAGAAAAAACAAAGAGTTCTCAAGGCCACAAGTGGCTGGCTATCTCTCCCCAGATAGTGTCCAAATGTCCTAAACAAACGGCACCTCTTCCAACATGGTGTTGTCCCATCAATGGGGGCATGGAGCTTGGGGCACTCCAGGAAGTGGCAGGCCAGGATCAACTCACCACAGCTGGAGGTGCTCACAGGCGGGGCCCCTGAGTTGACTCAGCAGCAGCGGCAGCATGCAGCAAAGGTTCGGGATGGACACCGGAGCAGAGCGCAACAGAGGCAGTAGCACCAGGAAGTCATGCCACCAGACAATTAACAGCTCTCAGAGGTGACTTGGACACTTAGTGCTGGTCACCTGTCAACAGCACTGGACAGCAGTGCCGGTCACCACCAGCCATTACTGTTACAGTTCTTTGTGGGTTGTTGACCCACACCAACAACAAACAGCTCTTTGAGACACCAAGCCCAAGGCCTGGTGCTCCTCAGGTGATGTCAGAGGCAGGCCAGAGGCAGGTGCTGCCAGCCCAGCCTCTGTGAAGCTCTTCAGCTTCTCTGCGAAGCCTTTCATTTTGTCTTCTTCCTTTGGAAGTCAGCTGTTAGGTGCGCCTGAGAGCTTCCAGTGCAAGTGAGCCTGTGTCCAGCTGAAGCACATCCCAAGGAGTCCAAGCAAGCATGTCCAGAGCGTGCAGGAGTACAAGAGCTGCAAGGGGCCTTCTCCATGCTTTATCTCCTCTCTCTGGGTCCCCCACCTACCAGTCTGATTGGATGGGTTTCAATCTTATGGCTGATTGGACCAATTACCAATGAGCTCATAGCTCTCACCTGATCGAGCCACTCTATGATCTGGGCACCAAATCCACGGGCTTCTTTATTGGCTGCAGTTGCAGCTACAGTGTTGGCGCTGGCCTGTGAAGCCCCACGGGCGGCATGCCCATCACCACTGGCCTCTACCAGCCCAAGACTCCCATGGGGGCCTACAAAGGCCCACCACCCACTGCTACTTACACTACCTGCAAGCAGTGCTCTGGGGCCAAGTGCTGGAGGCCCAAGTTGGGGGTGGTGTTAGATTTCAAAAGCAGATCATAGAATTACTTTCCTGTTTTGCCTAGAGAACTGCTTCAGAGGACCCTTCTGTGGCTCATGGCATCTTTTCTTTGGGTCAATTACTGTACCCTGTCAGCAAGGATGGAGACAGCATAAATTTCTGATATATAAAATATATGTATTTAGGGACTTAGGTCCTGGTCTGGGATAGCAGGAGCATGGGTCTTCTTAATTTGGAGGTAATCATGGAACATCAAAGGCTGAGATACAGCCTCTAAACAAAGTAAGCATAGGACACTCTCCAGCTGCAATTTTAGGGTTTGTGATTTGTTTGTTTCTGAGACTGCCATGTTGATGAGAGGGGTAAATGTGTAGAATATACACACAGTAGATTTTGCACCTCTGGGTTATATGAAGTCATGAGAAATGTTCTTTCTCTGAATCAGGTAGGGACACCAGCATGAGAAGCCTGTGTTGTTGTAGATAGCACAAAGCCAAATCTCCCAATTTACTAAATAATTTCTGTTCTCTACCAATACTTAAAGATGCTAAAGCTTTCAGATGCACTTAAAGCTCCTGAGGACTGGGGGATGTCAGATGCCAGGATACACAATGGACTGAAGTCTAGGCAGTGTAAAATAATGTGTGGGTAGTTAGCGAAGTTCTCCCTCAATTTGGGAATGACAGAGGGTTGAGAGGCAGAAGAAGGGGATAACTTTTAGAACAGTGAGAATGTTCAGACATCTTAACATCTGACTACTCTCCATTCAGATCACCAGTATCTCTCCACCAGCAACTGAGAGTGACTCACACTTTGGCTGCTGCAGGAGCCATGACACTAGAGCTTCTCCTACTATATAAATATGGTAGCAAGTTTTCTGCGCTGCCCAGTTCTTTGCCTCCCCAGGTCAGTGGCTCCATTTGGAGTTACACAGTCCTGGAGTCATGCATATGTTCATAAAACCCAAAATGCCTGAAAGGAAGGGTTCTCAAAGCCTGGTTCCTAAGGGACAGAATGGCAGGTGGTATTTGCAACAGCCACCCTCAGCTGTCAGCAATTGAAGGATGGAGTGCAGGGCTGAATTTTGGTTTATTAGAAACAGCATATACTTTTGAGGCCAGAAGATATAGGTTTGAATACCATTTCTGTTCCTTAATAGCTATTTGGGATCTGAAGCAATTTACTTGATAGCTTTGAGTCTCAACAACTCTATCCATAAAATGAAAAAGGAAACCTCCATGGTTCCAAGCCCTCATCCAGAAATTTGGATATTAAAGAGTAAAATGAACCTTTATCTTGCCTTTCCTTACAAACTGTATTTCAGGGTAGCCAGGTAGATTACAAAATCACCATCAAGCAACCCTGAAGAAAATTGCTTCAGGCAAAAATCGTCAATGGAAAAAACCCTCGTAAAAGTCAATTCGGGGGCCTCCCCGGTGGCGCAGCAGTTGAGTGCTGGGTTGCGAAGCTGCCCAAAGCCTCCACCTCATTGGTTTGATCCCCAGCTGCTCCCCAGCCACAGGAGGAGGGTCCCGCATGGCGCGCAGACCTCTCCCGCCACCCGCTGCTCTCTCAGCAGTGTACTTCGGTCCTTCTGCCTGCTCTGCTTCCTGCTCTGGCTCTGGTGAATTCTCTCACCCTCCCGCACTTCTGACTGTACCCAGTGCTTGCATAAATAAATAAATAAATAAACAAACAAACAAATAAATAAATCTTTAAAAAAAAAAGTCAATTCGGCCAAAGGCAATTCATCTTTGAATCACAAGAAGGGAGAAAGCCAAGCACTGTGACCTCCTGATATGACACAGTGTGAAGTTTAGGGTCCACCTTTAAAGAATTTTTGCCAAGAAAAATTGAATTTCAAATCACTCAAGACTCTAGAGCTTATTTAAAGTTTGTAGGAAATGTGAAAGATAAAGATACAAATTAAATGACACCACAGGGAGAAAACAGACAGACCCAGAATGTAGAAATTCAATGGACAACTGACCCAGTTTCTGTAACCAGCAAATGACAGGAAATGGAGGGTAGGGAGAGGGACTCGTCTAGATGGAAAGAGACAGAGATATAACAATCATAGTGATGTCTGAACTATATGTTGATCCAGACTTAAACAGACCTATCACATAAAGACATTTGCCCAGATTCTCTACATTGGGTATTAGATGGCATCAAAAAATTGTCACTTTGTTGAGTGTAGTAATGGCATTGTGGTTTTGCAAGAAAATGTTACACCATTTACAGATAAATATGTAGGGGTGAAACAACACCATCTTCGGA